ATTATATATATTATATATCTATATATATATATACATATATATACATATATACATATGTATGTTGTACGCATTTGCTGTAAGTATATGCATGTGTACACACACAAGACTAGGTGAGTTTCACGCGTGAGCGACTCTGACTTTGAAGTGCATTCAGAAGAATCGTAGTTCTTGTGCTTGCATGGTACACACTCTAGCTGGTTTCCGTAGGCACTCTTTACTCTACTGAATCGCCCTTGAGCATGAAGTGTTAGCGCTGGGAGTACTGGTTACGGTAACGATAAGGTCTCATGTACATGCACAGTCTGTAAACATGTGAGTCTGAGATGTGGCCTGTGTGCGTTTTTTTTTTTTTTTTTTTTTTTTTTTTATTCTTTTTTTTTTTTTTTTTTTTTTATTTTTTTTTTCATTTAACATACACACAAGCATGGACGTTCTCGTACGGGGACATTCACGCAGGCGCGCACCACACGCACGCAACGCACGCTCGTGTGTGTAATACACATTTGCTTCACGTACTTTTGAACACTCAGCGCACACTCACGCACAGCACACACCACAACAACCACACACACCACACACACACACACACACACACACACACACACACACACACACACACACACACACACACACACACACAGCGCGCTAACACACACACACAATCATATTGTATAAACAATTCCTCTACACATATGTAGCTACGATATTTCTATTTCTGTTAAAAAAGCAGTATGAATATGTACTTCTAATCTATATTTTGATACTAATAAATTGTAGATCGTTAAGCGTAATGTGGTAAGTTTCCTTTGAACATCTTTTTATTACTTCAAAAGCTGGAAAAAAATGACATATTTATTCTTTTCCCGGAAGTGAATTTTTTTTTTTTTTTTTTTTTTTTTTTTTTTTTTTTTTTTTTTTTTTTGTAAAAGGGTCAGTGACTGATTGAAAGTTAAAGGGGAGAGGGAACTTTTTTATTAAATAGTTGGTGCGGGGGTAAAGATGGAAAAAAATGGGTATAGCTAAAGAGAAAAGAAAAAAAATAAATGGAAGGGAAGGTAAGGGGGAGAACTGATGTCATTAAAATACTTTTTTTTCCTTTTTTTCTTTTCTTTCTTTTTTCTTGGCGTGGGGAAAAGAAGTGTGTGTGTGTGTAGTGTGTAGATGTGGCGTAGGTGAGGTGTATGCATAGCCATAGAGACGGTGCCCCCGCCCCCAAAAAAAATAAAAAGAAATAATAATAAAATAAAAATAATAGTAATGAGAGAATTGACAGACAAAAGAAAGAGAAAACGTGAGAATGAAAAGAAAAAAATGAATAAAAGTAGTTTAAAAAGTAAACGGTCTTGGCTAACGCAGTCAAAGCGCCTTCCGTTAACTGAACTGACTGACTGTTTGACTGAAATGATTGACTGAGAATCTCTTATCTTCAGATGGATTTCCTTTTCGAGAATACA